ACCCCCACGGCAAGGATATCGTCACGATGCACGTTCTCAACTACATCAAGGAGAAGAGGCCCAAGGCATTCCTGCTCGAGTCCAGGGCCCACCTCTACAGCGCGAGCATGAAGCCAGAGATGGCGGCGGTGCACGGCTACCTGCAGAAGAAGCTCACGACCGAGAGCGGCGACCCGAGCTACTACGTCTGGAGCGACCCGATGGACGCGCGTTGCGATGGTGGCCTGCCTCAGGCGTCGCAAAGGTTGTTCTTCGTTGGCATCCTCAAGACGGCAGTGGATCCCAGGGCCGTTTCCAACCCGTTGACCCTCTCTCAGATGGAGGAGAAGAGCCTCGCGGACGTGCTGGACCCATACGTCGCGCCACTCTCCAGGCCCGACTTCGACGAGCCGCCAGGCCTGAGTCCGGCCCAGCTCCGCAATTACAAGAAGGTCAAGGACTGGCTCGAGCCCGCCATAGACGTGAAGATGCCGAACCCCCCCGGCAATCAGATCATCATCTCGGACTTGAGCGTCGGTCCGACGAGGGACCCCGACACTTTGCGAGGATGCTCGATCGGCCTGACGCCCAGCCGCCCGAACGGCTACTTCATCTGGGGGAGGCAGCGGTTCATGACGACTACTGAGATGGAGTCGCTGCAGGCCATTCCGAACGACCACTTCAAGTACGACGGCATCATCAGCGAGAACCAGTACAAGAAGCTCGTCGCTGAGGCGCCGCCTGTCCCGATAGTCGGCCGCGTCTTGCGCGAGATTTTGCTACAGGTGAAGCTCCCTCCGGCTATCGTGGAGCCCGACCCTTGGTGCCCTTCTTCGGGCTGGGCGAAGGCGAAGGCTTAATCTCCTGTGTTTCCCTACTTCGACTGAGGTCTGAGGTCCCGGTCTTGCCGCGCTCTGGTGGGGTTCCGAGCCGGCTGAGGGGAGCAGGGGGAGGGGGAGGGAGGATGAGGAGAAGGATGAGGAGGCAGGATGAAACGAGTGCCTAGTAGCTAGCTGCCGCCCGAGCGAGGCTCGGAAGGAGGGGATAGCCACTCCCAGAGTGCGACCGTGCCTGCTCGCCAAAATCCTTAACGCTTCGCGTATCCCCACCAGCCCATCCAGAAACAATCGCCAGGCGAGTTGAGGTGTTGTTGCGAGAGGCTCTCGGAGGTCTCTTGTGGCCATCTTGGGGCTCTCTTGGGGTCCTCTTGGGGTCCTGTTGGGGTCCTCTTGGGGCCCTCTTGGGGCCCTCTTGGGGCTCTTTCGGGGCCATATTGGGGCCCTCTTGGGGCTCTTTGGGGGAGTCTGAGAGGTCTCTTGGGACCGCTTTGGGCCCCATGGCTCAGCCCCCCCCCCATCGGAGGCTCAAAGGCCGTCTTGGGGCCCTCTTCTTGGGGCGGGGCTCTCTTGGGGCGCTTGGGCGTTCTTGGGGCCCTCTTGGTGCCTCTTGGGCCCCTCTTGGGGCTCTCTTGGGCCATCTTGGGGCGATCTTGAGGCCTCCGAGGCCCATCGGAAGCGAAAAGGCGAGAAGGCCAAAAACACTGATTTTCCTTAAGTTTTGGAGCCATTTGGGCCTCTCAGAGGGGTCCTTGGAGGGCTCGGTGGGCACTTGAATTCGTCTTGGGGCCGTCTCGGGGCCTCTTGGAGGTATGTCGGAGATTATCTTGAGCCATCTTGAGCTATCGTGCGCCATCTTGGGCTCTCGGAGGGCCTCTTGGAGCCATCTTGGGCCATCTTGGACGCTCTAACCCCTCCGTCTCCCCAACAGTCCATCCAACACCACGTATTCTTAAACCACCTACGCCCAGAGGGCTGGTGGGATAACCTCTTCGCCCCTGGTCACCCTCCCTCACCCTCCCCCCCTCCCCTCACCCTCCCCCTCCTCAGCCTCCCCCCTTCCCCTCACCCTCCCTCACCCTCCCTAACCCTCCCCCCCCTCCCTCACCCTCCTCCCCTCGCCCCTCCTGTCTTCGCCTCCTCCCCCTCCCCTCACCTCTTCCTCCTACTCATCCTCCAACAAGCTGTGACTCCAAGAGCCTCCCTTCCCCCCTCCTCCTCCCACTTATCCTCCTCCCCCTCGCGCGGGCGCCGCCCCCGCCTCCGGCGCGCCGGCAGGTGGTCGACGCGGCGGTCGACGTCGTCGGCGAGGGGCCGGCGAGGGGAGGAGGGGGGGAGGAGGGGGAGACGACGACGACGACGACGACGACGACGACGACGACGACGACGACGACGACGTAGATGACAACGATGAGCACTACGACGACCACGACGACGAGGTCGGCCGGTTCGGCCACAGGGGGAGACGACGACGTCAAGGACGACGACGACGACCACGACCACGACGCGATCGTACCCCCTGCGATCCACATAAAAACGTGGTGGAACCACGTTCCCCCTGCAATCCACATATAAACGTGGTGGAACCACGTCCCCCTTGTTTCATTTTGTTTCACTTAAGGCCCCTATGTTTCACTTAAACCCCATGGGTAAAACCCCAATGGTAATGATGATGGTGCGTGCCGTGTCGGGAGAGGCCGTGCATGCCTACGCGTTTTTTTTTTTCCCGGAAAGGGCTTGAGCCCAGGGTTCTCTTTTAGATGGTTTCCCCCCGGGTTTGACGGGAAGAGGGCCGGCGAATTTCTTTTGCGATAAATAACGAGTGGGAAGAGGGCCGGCGAATTAAAATTTGAGGATGTCCCTAGCGAAACGCTTGTTTTTCAGAATTTATTGAGGATGTCTCGAGCGAAACGCTTGTTTTGTGTTGTAGATTGTCCTCTCCTGGGGACCTGAATTCTGAGGATCTCTCAAGTGGATTGCTTGTTTTCACGTGCCCAGGTCTTGAGGATGTCTCGAGCGAGACGCTTGGTTTCACGCCTCCAGGTGGCCCAGACAGATGTCTAGCATGAGGATTTGTTGAGGATGTCTCGAACCAGAGGCTTGTTTTCACGTGTCCAGGTCGCCCAGGCGGATGTCTAGCATGAGCATTTGTTGAGGATGTCTCGAGCGAGACGCTTGTTTGCACGTGTCCAGGTTGCCCAGGCTGATGTCTAGCATGAGGATGTGCTGACAACGTCTTGAGCGAAACGCGTGTTTTCACATGTCCAGGTCGCCCAGGCACAGCACAGCCCTCGGTACGGTACATCAACATCGATACCCTTAGCATTGCAGCCTGGCATGTTGCCTGGCACGTTCCGCGGAGCGTCCCGTGGCGAGTCCCCCTGGCACGTCGCGCGGTGCACGTCCATTGGCACGTTCCGTAGCGCGTCCCCTTGGCACGTCCCGCGGTGCGTGCCCATGGCACGTCCCCTGTCACGTCGCCTGGCGCGTCCCTTGGGACGTTCCGCGGCGCGTCCTCCTGGCATGTTCCCTCTGTCGATTGGTTCTGGGGCAGCTACCATCTGCTCAGGCAGCTCGAGCTTACGATCCAGATCAGTTCGGTGAGGACCCGATGCCAGGGAGGACTCGATCCACAACGCTATATAGAGCACACTCGCGGCATGGCACATCGCAGTTCAGCACGGCGTAGCACAGCACAGCCGTCGGCACGGTACATCAAGATCGATACACTCAACTATGCACCTTGGCACGTTCCTTGGCGCGTTCCGTGGCGAGTCCACCTGGCACGTTGCGCGGCGCGTCCCCTGGCACGTCCCTCGGCACGTCCATTGGCACGTTCCGTAGCGCGTCCCCTTGGCACGTCCCGCGGTGCGTCCCCATGGCACGTCCCCTGGCACGTCGCCTGGCGCGTCCCTTGGGACGTTCCGCGGCGCGTCCTCCTGGCATGTTCCCTCTGTCGATTTGTTCTGGGGCAGCTACTATGTGCTGAGGCAGCTCGAGCTTAATTACGCTCCAGATCAGTTCGGTGAGGACCCGAATGCCAGGGAGGACTCGATCCACAACGCTATATAGAGCACACTCGCGGCATGGCACATCGCAGTTCAGCACGGCGAGGAGGGGGGGGAAGTCCTAGGAGGGGAGGCAGATCCAGCCGCGGCGACGAGGGCGTCAGGAAAGGCCGAACCAGCCGAAGAGGACCAGGAAAAAACGAAAAGCGTCAGAACCCCCTCCCCCCTCCTCCTCCCCCCTCCTCCCTCGTCCTCACTCCTCCTCCCTCCTCCTCCCTCCTCCCTCCTCCTCCTCTTCCCTCCCCCTCCTCCTCCTCCTCCCCTGCACTCCATGCAGCTCATCACAACTGCAGCCCCTGACGCCAACATGTTCTACTGCGTTAAGAACATGTTGGCGTCACTTGGCTTGGCTTGCCACTTGGCTTGCCTTACGTAAAAAACATTGCTGGCGGCAACTTATCCTCCTCCTCCTCCTCATCCTACTCCTTCTCCTCCTTCTCCTCCTCATCCTCCTCCTTCTTCTTTCTCCCCCCTCCTCCTCCTTCTCCCCCTCCTCCTGGGCCACGACGTGCGAGCGGTGCCGAAGCGTCGTGCAGGCAGGCAAGACGATACCTTCGATACCACTAAGACCACCAGCCCAGCTCCTCCTCCTCCTCCTCCTCCTCCTCCCTCCTCCTCCCTCCTCCCTCCTCCTCCTCCTCCCTCCTCCCTCCTCCTCCTCGTCCTCCTGGACCCGCAGAAGTGACGGCCGCGACGCCCTCTCGCGAAGCGAAAACGGCCAATGCTTTCATCGACGTGTCAGGGTAGGAGGTCTGCCCACCCCCGGGAGACCCCTCTCCTCGGGGCCAGCTGCTCCTCCCGAGTCGTTCTCTGACGGCCCCTGGGCCCGTCCGGGGCCCACTGAGGACCAGGAGCGGCGCGACGGTTCCATCTCGACCCAAGGGGGGCTCACGTCGCAGGATTCCCCTTCCTTTCCAGTATTGTCTGGGTTTTCGTCTCCCCCCCAGTTCCTATAGTTTCCCGCACTCTCCTTGGAATCGACGACTCATTGTGTCTGTGTGTTTCCTCCCCTCCTGATTGCTGGCTGTCCAATGCGCTGGAGGTCTACATCTGCGTGGGCCTCCCTGGAACTCCAGGACACCCCCTGGGCCAGGGAGCCCTCTGGCAGCACCGGCTCCTGAGCCTCGCGCAGGTACGCGATGCTCGCGTAGCCGAGGGGCACCTCGCCATGGGTCCCGCCGGCATCGGCGTCGGCGTCATCGGCGTCGGCGTCATCGGCGTCGTCGTCGTCGTTGTCGTCGTCGTCGTCGTCGTCGTCGGCGTCGGCGTCGGCGTCGGCGTCGGCGTCGGCGTCGGCGTCGGTGTCGGCGTCGGCGTCGGCGTCGGCGTCGGCGTCGGCGTCAGTGTCGTCGTCGTCTTCGTCGTCGTCTTCGGCGGCAGCGGCGGCGGCATCGGCGTCGACGTCGGAGGGGGGAAGGAGGAGGGGGAGGGAGAGGGGGAGGGGGAGGGAGGAGGGGGAGGGAGTGGGAAGGAGGGGGAGGGAGGAGGGGGAAGGAGGGGGGAGGCCAGGAATGGAGGAGGGGGGAAGGAGAAGGGGGAGGGGGGGCATTCTAAGTGAGGGCTGTGAGTTCGGCCGCCGCGAGGCGCAGCTGCCGCCGACCATCCCACCGAGAGCTAACGTCAGCGATGGCACAGTCAAGGATGAGCCGCTGATTTCTGCGAAGCTGAGGCCCCAAAAGAGGGACGATGAGGAGGAGGGGGAGACAGGATCGAGAATCGCGGATCAAGGCTCTTGAACGTCTATGGCCCTTCCTGGGCCTCAAGAAGCCTCCAGAGGAACTCGGAAGCCTCAAGTGACAGAATCTCCATAGGCTTCGGTGGATCACCTACCAGCCCTACCGAGGAGGAAGGTTGGACGAGGAGGAGCAGGAGCAGGGTGATGTGGACGACGAAGAGGGGGACAGGCAGTGGTGAGATGTAGGGGCGCGTATGGGCTGGGCGGGGAGGGACGGAAAACAAAGACGTGTCGGGGATCCACTTACCCGGGTCAATCCAAACCAGGGTCAGCCAAGCCTTGCAGGATCCTGCAAGAAGACTCCGCAAGACCCTGCAGGCTTCTGCACGCGAGCCCAGGACAGTGCAACCCTGGCTCTGCAGGATCCTGCAAGATCCGACGCTCTGCGACGTCGTCGTTGTCGTCGTCCTCAATCAAGGATCGGGGTGTTCGGGAGGCGTTGGTCGCGTTTGGAGGCTCTGAGGGGGCTTCTCGGGGGAGGAGTTTCATCCCTTTGCACGGGGTGGCGCGTGGGCAAGAAGAGGATTTTGCGTTCTCCTCATCCTCTGCTTCCGTCTCATCGCCTCGTCCTCGTCGTCGTTCACTGCACTGGGGAGGGGCTGTGCCCCCCAGGCCCGCCCGCTGTCGCTCTCGCCCCGGATCCCAGCCCTCTCCACACATTCGGGGGCCTTGAGAAGGGGGTCAATGCGAACCCTGCACTGCCATTGCAACCCGCTGTAATATCTCTGAGAAGGCGGCCGCCCCGCGGGGGCCTCGGCGGCGCTCCAGGGCGCATCCTCGCCCCCCACGATCCAGGGACCAACAGCCACACCGAAGACGCACGGACAAGACAGCGCCAACTGCTGAGGCCGACAGGCCTGCGGGCCGCCCGGAGGGGCACGGCGGCGCAGCGACGACGCGACGGCCGAGCGAACCGAGCTGACCGAGCGCAGTCGACTGCGGCGCATCCGAGCCAACTGGACCGCGGACACCCCTGACCTCGAAGCCTGGCTATGTGCAATCCCGCAGAATTGGCCTATGTACGCATAGGCGCTGAGGCGCCGATTTGAACCTCGCACGGCAGCGCCTCGGGCGGCGCCGCCTCGCGCGGCGTGGAGGGGTGGCCTCGCGCTCTGGCACGCGCCCCTCGGGCGGGTGGTGAGTGCGGGTGGCCTGAATGAGGGCTGAAGACAAGGACCCTAAGGGGCCCTCCAGGGCTCCTCTTCGAGCCAGGAGGGGCCCGAAAGGGGCCCTACAGGGCTCCTGTGGGGCCCTGTTCTTTACCCCCATGTATCGGCGGCGAGCAAGGGGGGGGGGGGGAAGTGAGAAGGAGAAGGCCCTGTCAGAAGGCGGCGGGACTTCTTAGAAGCCCCCGTGCTGTCTGAGAAATGTTCTGTGTCTTGTGGGAAAGGCTAAGAACACTTCTCAGAAGGCCAGGAGACTTCCGAACGAACGAACGAACGAACGACAACTGCGGACAGGCGTCCGGGCCTGATAAAGATGTGTGTGGGGGAAGGCCACTGCCTCCTGAATCTCAGGCGCACGGACGATATAAGCATGCACTGCGGCTGCGAGACGAATGCGTAAAAAGTGAATGCGGACGAGGCGTGCCTCCTGGTTGTGGATGCCGACGAAGTGCCGTCGCGTGTCGCTGCGAAGGCCCGCCCCTTCTCACTCCCCCCCCGGGCTCGCCGCTGAACTCAAGTCACCCCCTAATGCTACCCGCCCGATCCCCCTGGAGAGGGGCGCCTCTCCGGCCTGGGCCTCGAGGAGGCGAGGCGCGGCCCGGGGGGCCGACGACACTTGTGGCACCCCCGGGCGGTCGGCCGCCAACGGGATGTAGCCCAGCTCGGGGAGGCCCACTGCAGTGGGGCTTGATTGGGCAGGGCGCCCCGGGAGAAGCGTGGCCCCCAAACGCCGGAGGACCTGCGGGTTGCACAGGTCGGGACAGACAGGACACAAAGGTGCCCTGGATTTGGCAAGGTCGACCTACGAATTTTCGGGAGCGGCCAAGAGGGGGGTGTCCAAGAGGGGTGTGTGCAAATCATGGCCGGCGGCATGTGCGCGGCCCAGCGGGGGGGCCAGGGACGTAATGAAATAAGAAGGGGCGCCATGAGATCTGGGGAAAAATCATGGCCCCCGCCATGATATTCACCCCCCCCTAGTCATCACCCCCCTCTTTTCCGCCCCCGAAATTTGGGCCGACTTTAATGCTAGGTATTCGACCATGGACGCCTTGATACCCATCGGCCTTGCGCGGTCTTGACCGAATTCTGCGGCGAGCGCAGCGGGGTGCAGGGACGGAGGAGGTGTCTTGGGAGGCTGCTTCTCAGAAGGCGAGGGCCTTACCTCTACGGTTAAGTCGGGCGTGTCCCCCCAGATGGGGATTTTAGGCGAAAAATGAAAATACTCAAGAAAAAAACACATGGGCAAAACAACTAAAAAAGTCGTCCCCCGACTATTTTCGACGATTTCTCATGTGGAGGGACAGGCCCGAGTTAACTCTACGGACAAGGCCCGCGCCTTCTAAGAAGCAGGGGTGCTTCTAAGAAGCATTCCCTCCTCCCCCTACTCCCCCTTGCCCGTGGCCGACTCACGCTACGTATTCGACCATGGACCCCGTGATGCTCGTCGGCCTTTGGCGGTCTTGAGCGGTCTCCTGAAGATCTTCGGCAGTCTCTGGCGGTGCTCTGACGCTCTTCGGCGATCTTCGGTGGTCTTTGGCAGCGTTCTGGCGGTCTTCGGCGCGGAAGCTGAGAACAGTTGCGTTCAACAAGGGGTCCAAACAGGGGGGTCAATGGTCGGACACCTGACACTCTGCACCCACGGCGCGCAGCGGTGGCTCTTGGGCAGCGAAAAGGTCCGCCCCTCCACGCCCCCGAACTGCCCCAGTGCACGAGCCGGGCCATCGCTCGCACCACCCTCGGTGGCGGGCAGCTGGCAGCCATGCACCGCCTCCAGGGGGCAGAAGAGGGCAGCCCTGCGGAAGCCAAAAAGGTACCTGTACCGCTACTCCCCTGTCCTCTCCCGGGGTGCGTCCTGACCAGGATTTCGAGGCGCATCCAGCGGTGGCGACGAGGGCCTCCCGGGAGGCCCCCCAAAGGGGAAAGCGAGGGAAGGGTAGCAGTATAGTTATCTGGTCTTCCTCTGAAGTCTGGTGAATAGTATTCGGGCGGGGCGTACCCGTCGCATAGAGCCGGCATGCACATCACAGCCCCCGCGTCGGTGCCAAGTCGGAGCTACGTCGAGACGCGGCGGGTCCACGTCAAGTACGCGTCGAAGACAAGAGGCGCAGTTTGCTGGACAGGCCAGGTCCCCCGAAGTTGCGGGGCAGTCGAGGATAACTGCACTGCGACGGAATTCATGCTCAAATATATGTATATATCTACATGTTTATGTGTATATATATATATGTATATATACATACATACACACACACATATATATATATATATATATATAGATCCACCGCCGCTGGCCAGGCCCGTCCTCGGCCCAGGGGCAGTGTATACCCACCCCGTTAGATTGGTCAAAGAGGCATTTGCGCCGCTCCTAGGCGCAGGATGGGCCATGGCCAGCAGCGGTGGACTGGTATATGACGAGATGGAGCCCCGAGCAACCGAACTTCGCAAGGGTGAAGGGTGGGCCCATCCCATCACCGACAGCGTCGATCCACTCAGATTCCGCAGGATGTCCAGGCCCCCAGCGGAGCAAACACGGCGGCGCCCTTGCTGACGCGGCATGCGGTGCTGGCGAGTAATGCATTGAAATGCTGTGCGTCTCTGACGCACAGTAGGAGGTCCTGGCCCTCCCTTCTCACAATTCCCCCCTGTAGCCCTGAGCCTCTCCTGGGCGTTTTGCCTACGATATCGAAGGGACCCAACCGTGGCGACCAGAAGCCTCTTGGAGGCCCCCAGGCTAGGAACATTTTCACAACACCTCGACCCTCGAGACTTCAGTCTCGATCGCCCATTGGACCGCCTGTCCTCCAGACCGATGCGAGCGCTGCGAACACGTCCAGGGGCCTCGACCTGTTCTTGTGCGCACAACAGGCGTCACCGCCTCCCATCGGCGGCGAGCGAGGTGGGGGAGTGAGAATGAGAAGGACTTCTCAGAACGCGGCTGGACTTCTCAAAAACCCTCCCGACTTCTGAGAAGCTTTCCGTGTCTCCCGGGGAAGCTCAGACAACTTATCAGAAGGCCGGGGGACTTCCGAGCCTTCTTCCCTCCGGGCTCGCCGCCGATCCCAGGCAGACGGCGCTCAGAAAGCTCGCCTGGATGTTGATCGTCACTAACAGCATCTTCGCAGCAGCGGCGTCGAGCTCCGCGGGGCCTGGGCGGCACGTGCCCCCCCCAGCGAAGGCGGAGGGGGATCGCGCGGATAACGAGGAGGCCAGTCAGAAGACGAGATGCCAGCGACTGCGCACGGGGGCCACGAGCCCCATACGGGCTCGAAGCGTCCAGCGCTTCCAGGTGCAAATCAGCGTCTCCTGTGCTCCTCTCACAGACTCTGCGCACGATGCTGCCAAGGGCAAATCGTCGGGTGTGGCGATGTCTGCGCCATCACGTTGCAAACACGACCAGGCTACAACCCCAACTTAAGTGACAATGCTGCCCTTCGTGTCCTGCATCTCCGAGCCGCTAAAACAAAATCCGCACCATCGAGGAGACAGCCGAGGCAACGGGACGCTATATAGTGTGTACATAGCTGTGCATTAACAGATATGTACACGTGTTGTCTGCATGCATGTCTGCAGCCAACAACAACAATTTACCATGGAAATGCGAAATGGGAAGCGCTTGCGCGCGAACGCATACACATAATCTGAACACTCACCTGCCACACACACAACATCGAGTAGTACCATCATGCTGGATACCTATCGCATAGCGGGTCACCAACATCACATCGAAGATGCTCTAGTACCGAGCTCCAGGTGTTGGGACTCGCATGTGTGAGCGGCATCGAGTTGGTCAAATGTGGATTGAGCATCTGTGGCACTGGGGGC